GTGAACTGCGCAGCTACCTTGGCTTGCAGATCACCCGGGACAAAGCACGCCGCACCATTACCCTGACTCAGTCACACATGGTGCAGCAGGTCCTTCAGCGCTTCGGCTTCACGTACTCCTCGCCTCAGGCCACTCCTCTGCCTACTCGCCACTCGCTCTCAGCTCTGCCTTCGGATGAGTCCGTAGAGTCGAGTGGCCCGTACCCAGAGCTTGTTGGCTGCCTCATGTACCTGATGACCTGCACACGACCTGACCTCGCATACCCTCCTAGCATTCTCGCACGCTATGTTGCTCCTGGGAGACACAGACCGGAGCACATGGCTGCAGCGAAGAGGGTGTTGCGTTACTTGTGCAGTACGTCGGGCATGGGGCTTGTGCTTGGAGGGCAGATTCCAGTGGTCCTCACTGGGCACGCAGACGCTTCTTGGGTTGACGACCAGGCTACGCAGCGGTCGTCACAGGGTTACACCTTCAGCCTTGGTTCCGGCTCTGTTTCGTGGCGGGCTACCCGCTCGTCCTCTGTTCTCGGCTCCAGTTGTGAGGCTGAGATCTACGCAGGAGCCATGGCTGCACAGGAGCTTCGCTGGCTCACCTACCTGCTGACTGACCTCGGAGAGCCGCCTCGTTCTCCTCCAGTGCTGTACGTAGACAACAAGGCCATGCTGGCCTTGTGTCGAGAGCAGAGACTGGAGCACAGAACGAAGAACATTGCTCTCCGCTACTTCCTTGCTCGTGAGCTACAGCAGCGTGGTCAGCTGCGGCTTGCGTACGTGGCCTCTCAGGCCAACACTGCTGATATCTTCACCAAGGCACTTGCGCCTTGTGATCATCAGCGCTTCTGTACTCAGCTGGGTCTTGTGCCTACCTTGACTCACTTGCTCACCCCTTGACCTTGTTTGTACTGTTGCATATATATATACACCTGCTCTTGCTTGTCTAGCCTTATATATATATGTAATCCTGCATGTGAACTGGCCTTGTGGCCTTGTGCTCGGAATGTGTGGTGACTTTGTGATCCACCCTGAGCTTGCTTTGCTGTGCTTGACTGGTCTTGTGACCCCTTGTTCTCCCCCACTTTGCCTATGGGGGTGTGTCAGATTTATATGACATAGCTACTGTAGGCTATAGTGGGGTAGCACATATGGGGTACAGTTTTCTAGGGTTTACATTTGTACCCAACTTTCCCTTAGTCCACCAATTCTCGTTTCTATTTTATCAAAGTTACCCCCGCAGCGGACTTTCACTCTCTCCACATGTATGGCGAGAGGCCTGCCGTCGACTAAGCGTGCGTCCATCTCCGGTAAGCAGCGGTTAAGTGTCAGTTGAAGTTTTCGGGCGGTCGCGGTGTTAACTAAGCTGTGACTTGCTCCTCCGTCTATAAAAATCTTGACTGCCGTTCCCTGTATGTTCCCATAGATCAATATTGGGCAATCCGTCGCTGTACCCTCCTTATTCATCCGAGCCCGATCGATAGCATGAATCGGTACTGTGACTCGGTGAGGGTCGGTGAGGTTGGGCGAGCAGGCTGTCTCGTCAGTAGTTGGCCCGACTTCTACTGACTGCTGGCGTTTCCCTGCCTCTGAGACTCCCTCCCCTACTCTGCTCCCCGGCGCCTTAGTTCCTCAGGGCATTCACTCTTGCGATGTCCCGGCCTGTTGCAAGCGAAGCAGCGCCCCTTAAATGGCGCAGCAGCTGCATTCGCCACAATGGCGTGTACGGTGGTGTGCTCGATCGGCCCCCGAGGGCGATGTCCGTAGTAGGAGCCCGGTCTTGGTCGGTGTAGGATATCGATTTTCTCGGCGAGCGCTATGATTTCGTTGAAGTTCGATAGCCCGCGAAGCATAATCTCGTGCAAGATGTCTGGCTTCAGCACTCCGACGTAACGGTCCACCCGCTCCGCCTCGTGCATATAGGCGACTTGCTCGCATAGAGCCCGCTGGTGTAGTCTTGAACCGACCCGGGCTGTCGCCAAGTGCGTAGTTTCTGGCGCGCCGAAATCGAAGCCGCGATAGGTTCGAATCGCGCCCGTAGTCCCGCGCACCACACATCCCACGTACAGTATTGGGCTGTTTCGCAGAATGAACGCCAGGTAACGGCTGGCCCCGTGGGCTCTTCTTCTCGCGTCGGCAGCTCGTAGGCGTGCGGCGAGGTAACGATCACTCGCCACCAGTCCATGGTGGGGCCCCGTAGCAGCGAAACTGCATATCGAATCTTCGTCGCGTCCGAGATGACATAATCAGCGTAAAAAAACGCGTTCATTGTGAAAATCCCAGGTGCTGTAAATTCGACGTGACGGCGCATTCCGCGTGGCGGATTCACGGTCGGAATAGCCCTGGTCCTCGTCATGACAGGCATTGACTAGGCGGCGCTATCACTGGATACGCCTGAGCGCTGTCCCACGCTGTCGTGCTGCGGCGGTGGTGTGCCAAACGAAATGACGATCGGCTCGTCCGTTTGTGGAGGTACATTTGCAGGTGTTGGTGTTGGTGCAGATGCATTTGTTGCTGACTGCCGGCGGGCGCCGTCAGTTCTGCCGTGAGTGTCGCGTCTTCGAGAGCCGAATTCTCGAGTTGGCTCACGAGGCAGTCGAGCTGCTCCTGCGTCAATGTCGCGACATTATATTCAGCCATGGCGGGGGTGTCGGGCGAGCTCAACGGGAGCCTCGGTCGTGGCCGTGCGTGCTTATGAGAGAGCACTTCGAGCGGCAGTGCTTGTTCGCCGAGATACGTCTACCCCCCCCCCCCCCCCTCCCCCCCCTCCCCCCCCCCCCCCCCCCAAAAAAGAAATGGAGATAGTGGGGAAACGAAGGTGTGGGTGCGGTCCGAGAGAAGATCGTAGGCTCTTAATACCAAGTGTTACGAGTGCAATTGAGCGAACGAACGAGAATTGCACTATCGAAGCAAAACAGTCCACTGAGCGAAGGAATGAGCGAGAACTAAATAGCGAAGGCCACAGTGGTAACGGTAACGAACTGTGGTTGACGCGCGACGGGCCTGTGACTGAGGTCAGGACTGAGGTTGGGAAAGTGTCGAAGCGGAGGCCCGGAGCACGGGTTACCAGCCGAGCCGGGAGGTTGGGTTGCGACGTGCGAAGTGGCGGGAAGATTGTCGAAGTGAGGGTCGTGAGTGGTAACGGTGCCGAGTGTGGTGAGAACAGAAATGTATGCATTACGCAGAGATGCGGCGTAAGGAAAATGAGATTTCCTCCTAGTCTAGCTGGATAAACTGTTGTTTAGGGCTTTGAGTGTCTACATTTTTGTCAAATGCCAGAAAAGTGTAACTCGCCTTCAATGAAGGGCAGTGTCCCCAGGGCCCGAACCAGGTGTACAAACTGCAAAACAGTGTCTTGCCGCCACCAAGCCACCTTCGTAGGCTTGATTTGTCATATTTTGTTTCCGAACCTCGTTCGACACTCGGACGTGCGTTCGTCCGGGTGGACGCTTCGTAGCACGAGTCGCGCAATTCCGATTTTTTTTTGGACGCCAACTAGACGTGCGCATTTTGCCAACACGAAAAGAATGCAGACACCATGGATATGCCCGCATACCTAGAATACCGCCTCCAACCGAATCTGCCCGTGCATGAATGAGCCCCCGCTCTAGCCGAAAATTGTCGAAGCCCGCCCTCGAAGGTGCCCAAACGCGAAGTGCGAGTCGCGGCACGGCATGGTCGACTTGGATCATTCGTCGCTTCAAGCTTGATTTAGGCTGTAACCCTTTTTCTCGCCGCCAGTTGCGAGGAATTATTTCCTTCTCAATAGATGTTTCGCAGCACATTTCCCAGCGGGCGCGACGTCGCACCTACCGCGACCGTACGGTACCTCTCAGCACGGTTTGTTTCCAACGCATCATTCTGTTTTCACCCTTACCGAAAATCCATCCGTATCGGATCGCCATCTGCGCGAAATAGACGGTCAACTATCAAGCTTTGTGAAACAGCGAATGCGCTGGGCAAATTATAACCGTCCCCTGCGTGCTCTCAGAGTCATCATTCAGCCTGCCGTTGCTCTTGTCAAAGTCTGCTCCTTCATGCTGCTGCAGCATTTTTGCTCACTGTGACACACTGTATTCGCCGCCTCCGACGCAAAGCAGCCAAACCAACCCTTCGCAGAATCACTGTCGGCCAATTTTGTGGACATTCGCGTAGAAATTTCTAATTTGTACATTTGATTTACATCGTGATTTCGTTAGTAGTGTACAGTGCAGGATCGCTAAGCCAAGTTGGCGCCAGCTCACTGCCGCCTGTTTTAGTGCGACGCAACCAAGCGTCACTCTCTTTCGCCATGCGACGGACGGCACATGTCTGACGACGATCTCCGTCGCCGCCTCGCCTCGCAGCGTACTCGCAGCAAGCAGGTCAGCTCTCCAGTGATCACTGACGATGAAAAAGGCAGCCATGAGTAGTGAAGATGTTCGTTTACGGTCGTCGACTTGTAGAGGAGACTACAGCGTCGTAGACTCGTAGTCTCGAGATAGCAGTGTTAATTCACTCACTTAGCGACCTTACGCGATCGGCCGCCATATGCGGGCAGTCACAAATAACTGCTACTACTACAAGTTGTATTCGAACTCGTAGTAGTCAGTGCTTCGATCTGCGGCTGAACCGTGACACGCGGGCGTGTCACCAGTGTCAGGAATTAAGCATTCGGGTAGTTCTCGCCATTCGCTTGCCACTATTCGCCCCCCCGCGCAACCGCTCTTCCGCCATTCACTCCCCCGTTCTCCCTCGACAGCGCAGCATCGACTGTCGTGCTTTGTGTAGATCCCTGTACTCCTTTTAGATCCCTCTAATGTAGCTTAGGGTTGGAGTCAAACACTCGTTTTAAGCTCCCTCCCAACTCGGTTTTATCCACGAAGTTACGTAACCGCTTTCATTATCAAAGGCGCGCTTTTTTCAAGATGTTTTAAGCTCCCTCCCAACTCGGTTTTATCCACGAAATTACGTAACCGCTTTCATTATCAAAGGCGCGCCTTTTTCAAGATTAAATACGTGACCAACAACATGCGGGTCGGGAGTTTTGAATCGACATCCAGCCAGCGCGATTCGCGGCGGCAACGACGCTGCGTGCCGCGGCTGCCGCAGTTCTCCCGCGCCGCTGGTCAGCGCGGCCTGCTTTTCTCCGCAGCGCTCGCGCTTGCGCTCGTAGCAGCGTGCCACGTGGACTCAGCGGAAGCAACCGCCTTTAGAGCGACGGACGAGTTTAAGCCGCCATGTGGGCTGATGACGGCACCCGGAGCAGGCGGTAAGCGCTGCACACTCAAGTTATAAACCCTGTGATGCCACTAGGAGCCCCCGTGCGGACGGGCCTCAAGATCATAAAAGATATAACCGCCTGTGATGCCACTAGATTGCGGGATCGTTTATAGACACTGACGAGTTCACGCCCCCACGCGGGCTCTTGACGACACCCGGAGCCAACATTATGCGCCGCCGCGGCTACGTGAGATCAGGTTGGTCTCGAGATGCCTCCAAACTAATTTATAAAATATGGGCTGATGACCAAACCCGCAGCCATGGGTAAGACGATCTTTGAGGCGCCGCAAAGAGCCCCCCTGCGGACGGGTCAGGAGCCTATGGTAAGCGTCGCCGCGTTTTTTATTTGACTGATTTTGAGTCGTCTAAAAATTCGAGCCCAGGAGCTTAAGGGTACGTGCCGCCGCGGATGGTACTAGTGAGGCGGTGGCGCCGCCGCCCTACACCTCCCCCTAACGTTCGCGGAAAGAAGCGGTGGCGCGATTGGCGCACATGTGTGCGGAAGAGGTGGGGGGGGAGGGGAGGGAAGGGAGGAGGGAGAGAGTAACAATTGCGTTATTCTAGGGGGCGGATCGCTCGTAAGCCAGCGTCTTTACACATTCTCCCCCCTTCCTGGCTTTCCCCTTCCCCCCTTCTTCCTCCCGCTTCCCCCCTCCCCACCTCCTCCGCCCCCGACCTTCCACGTTTTCAGGATGGAAGCGGTGGAGCGATTGGCGCACGTGGGGCGGCCCGATGCGCTTCCTGGGTGTGCCGGGGCGCGGGCTGCGGAAATGGCAGGACGTCACGATCCCGTGCGGCGTCTCGATTCTGCTCGACGTACCCGATATAAGCGTGAAGACTCTCACCGTTAAGGGCTGGCTCAAGTGAGTCTCGCTAGTCCGTCCCCGCTCTCCGCTCCCCACTCCCCCCTCCCCGGCCCCCCACCTCCCCGCCCCACTCCCGCTCCCCTTCTCTCCCCCCCAATTTCCCACCCTTCCGCTCGCCCTGAACGGCTGGCTCAAGTGAGTCTCGCTGATTCGGCGGCGGCTCGGGTTTGAGACATAGGAGCGTGCCGGATCGTGCCGGATCTGATTGGATCCGTTCCTGTCATCCGCTTCTTGAGCTAACTCGAGAATTGCAACCCATCCCCCGTTTCCCCCCCTTCCTCTCCTCCTCATCCTCCCTTTTTTTTAGTGTTCTCGATTCCCCCGTCGCTCCCTAAGGTCACCGTCAACGCGCATTTCATCGCCGTGATCCCTTCCCTCCGCTCCTACCCTCCCATTCCCCCGCCCAACCCCACTTCTCCCCCCTCCCCCACAGAGTGCTCGATTCCCCGTCGCTCCCCAAGATCGATGTCAACGCGCATTTCATCGTCGTGATGGGCCGCCTCACGGGTTCTCGACTCGCCGTCGCTTCCCAAGTTCGACGTCAACGCGCATTTCATCGTGATCCCTCCCCCCCGCTCCTACACTCCCATTCCCCCGCCCACCCACCCCCGCTTCCCTCACAACCCTCTCTCTCCGCAGGGTGCTCGATTCCCCGTCGCTCCCTAGGATCGACGTCAACGCGCATTTCATCGTCGTGATGGGGCGGCTAACGGCGGGCGAGCCGAGCCGCCATTTCTCGAGCCGCCTCACCTTCACCCTCTTCCCCGGGAGCCGCAAGCCGTACATGCTGTCGAAACTCGCGCCGGCGGATGCGGCGAACCCTCGCGACTTGGGCCACAAGGCGTTTATTGTGGTACGTGGTGAGATGCAGTGAGCCGCGGTGGAATGCAGTGAGCCGCGGTGGGATGCGGTAACACGACACTTAGAACCTAGAGGGGGGGGGGGGGGGTTGCCGCAAGCCGTACATGCTGACGAAACTCACCCCGGCGGATGCGGCGAACCCTCGCGACCTGGGCCACAAGGCGTTCATCGTGGTACGTGGTGGGATGCGGTAACATAACACGAGACTTAAAAGCTACAGGGGTGTTGCAAGCCGTACATGCTGTCGAAACTCGCGCCGGCAGATGTGGCGAACCCTCGCGACCTGGGCCACAAGGCGTTCATCGTGGTACGTGGTGGCGCGGGGATGCGCAGGGGGGTGGGCGGGGCAAGCGGGGGGGAAAGGGATTGTTATATAGAGAGGGAGACTTCCGCAAGCCCTGTTCCCCTGTTCCCCACGGGCCACGCCCAACCACCAGCCGTTGATGCTGACATCTAGTTTTGAGGCGCCTCAAAACTAGACTCAAAATTTTGAGGCGCCGCAAAACCAGCCGTTGATGCTGACAAAGCTCGCTCGCACCGGCAAGGCAAGTGCGGCGAACCCTTGCGACCTGGCCTGGGCTGGGCCTCAAGGCGTTCGTTTCTAGAATCTTTTCCCTCAGGTGGGCGGTCAGGTGCAATTCCACGGCATGCCGCGCCGGGCGCCAGTTGGCAGCGAGCGACACAATTTGGACAATACATTGCACCCCCCCCGACCCAAAAAAATATAAAACCTAATCGGAAAGGGACGCGACTAGGGGAGGCATCATCCCTAAAAACAATGCCCTTTCCCGTGTTTAGGGTTGATCCCTCCCGAAAATGCGTCCAGGTTCCCTAGGGGTTTCATATTTTTCTGCCCTGCCCTAACAGTTCTCGGTAGCGCCGTCTAGTGCTCTCGGTAGCGTCGTTTAGCGCTACCGAGCGCTACCGACGCTACCGAGTGGAATATATTTTCACATAGTTTCCGTGTCTCGCTTCTGATTTCCCTGACTTGGGCGGCCAGGTGCAATTCCACGGCATGCCTGGCGGCAGCAACACCGCTGTTTCAATATCACTTCAAAGATACACTCCCTGCCTGCCCCATGTGCTTCTCAGGTGGGCGGCCAGGTGCAATTCCATGGCATGCCAGGCGGCAGCGACACACCCTCATGGGTGCGGCTCAGTGAGACGGCCAACGCCGGCCAGCGCTACGTCCTGGTGGAAGCTGACGTCAGCAACTGGGCGGCAGGCATGACTGTAGCTCTGGCCTCCACCAGTAACAACCTGAACGAGGCAGAACACCATCTGATCGCCTCTGGTGAGAGATTGTGATTTGATTCCCCCCCCTGGTTCACCTCCCCACTGGATTACCTTTCTCCTCTCCCCTCTGGCTCTGGCCTCCACCAGTAGCGACCTGAACGAGGCGGAACACCATCTGATCGCCTCTGGTGAGAGATTGCGATTTGATTCCTCCCCCTGGTTCACCTCCCCACTGGATTACCTTTCTCCTCTCCCCTCTGGCTCTGGCCTCCACCAGTAACGACCTGAACGAGGCGGAACACCATTAGATTGCCTCAGGTCAGAGATTGTGACTTGATTGCGTCAGGTAAGGGATTGTGATGCGATCTCTTCCCCTGTTACTTGTTGCAACGACCATGTTTTCCTCGTCTCTTGTTCTTCACGAGTCATATATAGTTTCCTCTCCTCCCTCCACTCCCCTCCCTCACATTGTCTCACCCGCCCCAACCCCAAATCAGTTGCTGCTGACATCAGCAATCCTGGCATTTTCCGCATCAACCTGCAGACCCCCCTGAGGCACTCCCACCAGGGGGAGGTGTTACCTGACGGGGGCACGGGCACCGTAGGAATCTTCGGGGAGGTTGCGCTGCTGGACCGCCACGTCAGCATCCAGGGGACGAATGACGCGGCGCCACATCAGCTCGACGGGGGCCACTTTATCATCTACATGACACCTACCAAGCAGACCCTGGAGGGTGTGCAGTTTAGAGGACTCGGAAATCAGGGGACACTGGGGAAATACCCTGTGCACTTCCATATCTGCGGGCAGAACGGGCAGGATCACGTGGTTCGGAAAAACGCGATCGTGTTCACCAGACAGGTATGCTCGTCCATCCATGCTGTTTTTATATGGCCATATATTGGAAGGAAAAAAAGAAAAGAAAACATGTCGTTTTTTTGCACCCTGAAGGCAGAGATGACATGAGACAAAAAAATGCGAGAGAGGAAGAGAGAAAGAAAAGGCCATTGCGAAAACAGCAGCGATCCCTTCCCTCTCTCCCACCACCAACAGCGATGCATGGTGATCCATGCCACGGGCAGCATGACGATAGAAGACAACGTAGCGTATGAGACCAAGGGGCACTGCTACCTGCTGGAGGAGGGGAGTGAGCTCAACAATAACTTCAGGCGCAACCTTGGGATCAATGCGCGGAAAGGTACAATATGATATGATATGATATGATGTGATACGATATGATATGCGATGATATGATTTATTTTGAGCAGTCTAGCCACTCGCCTCTTGCCCCACCCTCCTCTTCCCCACCCCTCTTCCCTATCGCTCTCCCTCTCTCTCCGCCAGCTGCAGCAACAATCTGTTCCCAACTTCTCATCCGTTCCTCTCCTCATCCCCCTCCCCACCCCCCCATCGTGCAGTGGACAAGGTGATCCCCCCCGCTAGCAGCAGCAAGCTGGACAAGCAGACAGACCGAGAGGGGGAGGGACAGACACCCTCTGTTACCAACTGTTCCCAATCCCTCCCCCCTCCTTCCCCCACCTCTCTGTGCATCACTCCCCCCTACTCTTTACTCATTGCAGTGGAGAAGGTGATTCCCCCTGCCAGCAGCAGCAAGCTGGACAAGCAGACGGACTGACAGAGGAGAGGGACCAACAGCTCGTGTTCCCCTGTTCCCAACCGCTCCCGACCGCTCTCGACCGTTCTCTCTCTCCCACCCTCTTCCCCTACTCATTGCAGTGGAGAAGGTAATTCCCCCCGCCAGCAGCAGCAAGCTAGACAAGCAGACGGACTGACAGAGGCAGGGAACAACAGCCTGTGTTCCTGTGTTCCCAACCGTTCCCAACCGTTCTCTTTCCCCAACCTCTCGGCCACTCTGTGCAGTGGAGAAGGTGATTCCCCCCGCCAGCAGCAGCAAGCTGGACAAGCAGACAGACAAACAGCCCACCACGTTCTGGCTCGGCACGCCCCACAGCAACTTCATAGATAACGTGGCTGCTGGGTCCGAGGACTCGGGGTGAGTGGTACAGTACATAATGAATGTTTTTATATTCATTTATATTAAAACATTGTGGCACTGTGGACAGCCCACCACATTCTGGACCACGCCCCCACAGCAACTTCATTGATAACGTGGCTGCTGGCTCGGAGGATTCTGGGTGAGTGCTACAGTGTTTATGTACATATACATGTACATTTATCTATACGTGATATACATATGTTTTTGGCAGTGTAGAGTGTGGACAGCCCACCATGTTCTGGCTCGGCACGCCCCACAGCAACTTCATAGATAACGTGGCTGCTGGGTCCGAGGACTCGGATGGACAGCCCATAAGTAATTGAGGCAATATAGATAAGCAGGCACTATACCCCGCCCCAACCCTTAAAACATTGTGGCACTGTGGACAGCCCACCACATTCTGGACCACGCCCCCACAGCAACTTCATTGATAACGTGGCTGCTGGCTCGGAGGATTCTGGGTGAGTGTACAACAGTGTGTGTATATAAGTAATTGAGGCAATATAGATAAGGTATATATATGTGTGGGTGTAATTGTAACAAACAGCACTGTAGACAGCCCACCACGTTTTGGCTCGGCACGCCCCACAGCAACTTCATTGATAACGTGGCTGCTTAATCGGAGGATTCTGGGTGCGTACTGAGAGGATTCAGGATTCAGCTTTCCCCTCCTTCCACCGCGCTTCCCCCTTCTTAAGATTACCTCCCAGATTCTGGCTGGAAGCAACTCCATACATGAGGGGTGTGTACCGCCTGCTGCCGCAGATCGGAGCCATCAACCCCCTCTCCTTCATATCCCCACCCTCCCCTTCCCCACTCCTTGCTCCCCCTTCCCGCCCCTCTCCCCCAGATTCTGGCTGGAAGCAACTCCATACATGAGGGGTGTGTACCGCCTGCTGCCTCCATACTGAGCCATCAACCCGCTCACCTACAACTTGGGGGAGTACACACACCGGGGAATGAATGTCGCTCTCTCTTGCACTCACGTACTTCTCCTCCCCCCCCACCTTCCCCCCCCCTCCCCTCCCCCTGTTTTTGGCTGGAAGCAACGCCGTACATGCGTGGTGTATCCCGCCTGCTGCCTGCGATCGGAGCCATCAACCCCCTCACCTACAACTGGGGGGAGTACACCGGGAACAAGTGTCGTTCTGCTGCCCTGCGCTGACATGCAGCCTCCTCCCTCCCTCCTGCCCTTCCCCCGTCCCCTCTCCCCACAGATTCTGGCTGGAAGCAACGCCGTACATGCGTGGTGTATCCCGTCTGCTGCCTGCGATTGGAGCCATCAACCCGCTCACCTACAACTGGGGGGAGTACACCGGGAACGTGGCACACAGCAACCTGTTTGGGTTTCGCACGTACCCGCACGGCTCGTATGCGCGCTAGCCGGTATACAATAAAGACCCGGCTCCTCTGGAAAACTTTCTGATCTACCGCAACACTGTCGGGTGAGTGAGTGAGTGAGGGAGTGAGTGAGTGAGTGAGGGAGGGAGTGAGTGTGGTATCTGGCGTGGCAGCAACACCCCACTCCACACAGCAACATGTTTGGGTTTCGCACGTACCCGCACGGCTCGTATGCGCGCTAGCCGGTATACAATAAAGACCCGGCTCCTCTGGAAAACTTTCTGATCTACCGCAACACTGTCGGGTGAGTGAGTGAGTGAGGGAGTGAGTGAGTGAGTGAGGGAGGGAGTGAGTGTGGTATCTGGCGTGGCAGCAACACCCCACTCCACACAGCAACATGTTTGGGTTTCGCACGTACCCGCACGGCTCGTATGCGCGCTAGCCGGTATACAATAAAGACCCGGCTCCTCTGGAAAACTTTCTGATCTACCGCAACACTGTCGGGTGAGTGAGTGAGTGAGGGAGTGAGTGAGTGAGTGAGGGAGGGAGTGAGTGTGGTATCTGGCGTGGCAGCAACACCCCACTCCACACAGCAACATGTTTGGGTTTCGCACGTACCCGCACGGCTCGTATGCGCGCTAGCCGGTATACAATAAAGACCCGGCTCCTCTGGAAAACTTTCTGATCTACCGCAACACTGTCGGGTGAGTGAGTGAGTGAGGGAGTGAGTGAGTGAGTGAGGGAGGGAGTGAGTGTGGTATCTGGCGTGGCAGCAACACCCCACTCCACACAGCAACATGTTTGGGTTTCGCACGTACCCGCACGGCTCGTATGCGCGCTAGCCGGTATACAATAAAGACCCGGCTCCTCTGGAAAACTTTCTGATCTACCGCAACACTGTCGGGTGAGTGAGTGAGTGAGGGAGTGAGTGAGTGAGTGAGGGAGGGAGTGAGTGTGGTATCTGGCGTGGCAGCAACACCCCACTCCACACAGCAACATGTTTGGGTTTCGCACGTACCCGCACGGCACGTATGCGCGCTACCCGGTGTACAACAAAGACCCGGCTCCCTCGAAGGACTTTCTTATATATCGCAACACAGTCGGATGAGTGAGTGAGAGGGTGCATATGTGTGTGGATGAATCATGGAACCTGGCACAGCAGCAATCTAGTTTTGAGACGTCTCAAAACTGTCAGTGAGAGGGTGCATAAGCGTGTGGATTTGGATGGATCATGCAATCTGGCACAGAAGCAATACCCCTCACATCACACGAACGTACCCGCACGGCACGTATGCACGCTACCCGCAATAAAGTCGCTACACCCCGGTGTACAACAAAGGCCCGGCTCCCTTGAAAGACTTTCTGATTTATTGCCATTCAGTCGGGTGAGTGAGGTTATGGGAGTGTAGGTGTGTGAGTGAGGGAGTGAATGAGGGAGTGAGTGGGTGAGTGAGAGAGGGAGGGAATGAGCATCTGAGTGGGTGTGTGTGAGAATGAGTGACAACGAGAGTGTGGACAGTGGAAGCGAGTGAGTGTGCCCAAATCTCCTTACTGCTGTCAGCTCATCTCCTCCCTCCTCTCCCTCTTCTCCTCTCCCATTCCCCCCTCTTTCAACAGAATGTTCTTTTTCAATAGTGAGCGCATCGTGGTCAAGAACGGAATCTTCCTGGAAAACGCCGTGGGCATAGACCTGAGTCGAAACGTGAAGCTCGCTGCCTCTGGCTGCAAGTTCATCGCTCGAGCCGCTGCTGCTCCGTCTGGTTCTGCTGGTGGTTCTAGTGCTGGTGGTGCTACCGGTTCTGCTGCTTCTCCCGCTGCTGCTCCTCCTCCCCCTCCTCCTGCTGCTGCTGCTTCTCCTGCTCCTCCTCCTCCTGCTACTGCTACCACTTCTTCGTACTCTTCCTCTTCTGCTACCGTTCGACATATCAGAAGCAGCACCAGCAGCAGCAATGGTATCAGAACGCTTGGCAGCAGTAGCAGCACAGCTGCTGGAGCGGATTTCGACTCAGATTTGGCCTTCACAAAGGGCCCGACCACTCTCACTCAACCCGACAGCCTCTCGCTCGCTCTCGGGCCGTTGGACGAGGTGTATGGTGCTGGTGAGTGGTGTGTATGGTATAGGTTTCGGTCTGATTCTGAATCTGGTCTTTCAGCTGCCCCCTGGTCCTCTCTTTCAACCGTCTCATGCGTTGATCCCTTCCACATATGAGTAGGGGGGGCATGCTGTCCGTTGCTCTGTGTGTTTCTTGAATGCAGGAGTGGGCTTCACTCACCCAGAAGATGCGCTGTTTCAAAGAGCTCAAAAGCATGCCGGGCGTGCTAGCCACAGTGAGATTTGCCGATTCCCCTCTGTCCCTGGCTTCCCACCCACCACTGCAGGGGTGGATTTCACTCGACCAGAGGAGCAGCTGTTTCAAGAGCTCAAGAGCAAGCCGGGTGCGCTGGCACGAGTGAAGCAGCAGCAGAGGGCCGGGCCGTTGCAGCGGGTGATAGGGGACGGCAAGACGGGCAGTTTTGCGTCGCCTGTGGGGATTGTGGTCAGCCAGTGCAATCCCTCCGACCCTCCTGGACCAAGCTCCATCCAGGATTCTTTGTGAGTTGACTCTCTTGACTTTGGTTGACTCGGGTGTTGAAAGAGGCGTTTAGTCGCCTGTGGGGATTGTTGTCGGCCTGTGCAACCTTTCCGAATCCCCTGGACCAAACTCCATGGATCTTCCCGCTTTCGAGTCGACTCAAAAGCTGTGGGGGAGATCGCCGTCAGCCAGTGCTATCTGTCCGACCCCCCTGGACCCAACTCCCCCCTGAAGATGCATCTTCCCTCTCCGCTCTGCCTCCCCCCCCCTCAGCTTTTCAATGTTGGAGTCACCTCAAAAATCGCCTGTGGGGATTGTCGTCGGCCAGTGCAACCTTTCCAAACTCCATGCATCTTCCCTCTCTGCTCTCTCTCCCCCCTTCCCCCTCCCCGCCCCTCCCCCCTTCCCCCCCCCCCCCCCCACCCCCAGCTTCTCAAACTACGGCGCCACTGACGATGCCAGCTTTGCTGTGATTCTCACAGCCAACCACGCGGGAGGGTACTGGAACAGTGCTTTTTACGTCAAGGTGAGCAATGAAATGAGTGTTTCAACTAGGACTTGCAGCCCTGTCTTTCTTATTTTCAAGCATTCAAAAGCTCTACACAGCATGGCAACAGTCAGTCTTGCCTCACTTTTAATTCAACTCAAAAGTCGCTTATTCTGGCTCCATGCATCCTTCCCTCCCCAACCTCATACCGCCCACCCCACCACAGGGCCTCACCTTTGGATCTGGAACCAATAAGTTCTGGGCCACTCTCAACCCCTGAAAGCCATGTGCAGCTATGCTCTAGCATCTATCAACAACTCCTCTTCCTACCCTCTCACTGCCCACCCCACCCCACCACAGGGTCTCACCTTTGGATCTGGAACCAATAAGTTCTGGGCCACTCCTAATCCCGTAAGCAATAAACAAATTTTTTTTTTTTTCATAAAATCCGTGAGATGATATTTCCATGTCATACATAATAATATTTTTTTCCAGCCTACTTTTATGACCAGTAATCAATTGTTACATTTTTTTTCCCCTTTCTTTCTGCTTCTTTTTATTACAGCACAGAGCCCATGGTTGCCTTTCTACTTATGCGTATATATACACTACCTCACCTGCTTGTTCTCAAAACACTTTTTCCCCGTTATAATCTCGCGCAGTCCGCAGGCACGCCGCCCCGGGGGGGTCTGGTGGCGCGCTTCTATGCCCTCTGGTGTGTCTCATATATGTCCTCTCTGCCCCTCTCCTCCCCTCCCCCCTCCCCCCCCCCTCTCCCCCCACCCCCCCTCCCCAACTTCTCACCAGCCCGCAGGCACGCCGCCCCGGGGGGGTCTGGTGGCGCGCTTCTACGCCATCCAGTGTGTCTCATACATGTCCTCTCTGCCCCACTTTACCCCCCCCCCCCCCCCCCCCCCCCCCCCCCCCCACTTCCCCCTCCTCCAGTCCGCAGGCACGCCCCCCCGGGGGGGTCTGGTGGCGCGCTTCTACGCCATCCGGGATCTCGACGGATCTCTCCTCGGCCAATCAGGCTACGCCGTTGCCAACTACAATCCAATCCTCCCGCCCGCCGCCGTCCGGGCGGCCAAGTGCTCGTTGGACAGTGCACAGAACGTGTATGCTTGCACGGGGGTGTGCTATCGGTCAGTGGGGATCGGATACCATGAGTGGGGGGTGCAACCCAACGGCATGGCTGGGCTTCCGGCTTACGTGCTGAGACCATACAGGTGAGTGAGAGGATGGGAGAGTGGATGGGTGGGTGAGTAGGTGGGCGGCAAAATGCTTGTTGGACCCGACGGCATGGCTGGGCTTCCGGCTTACGTGCTGAAACCTTACAGGTGGGTGGATGGTGTGCGTGCGGTCGACAAGAGAAAGAGAGGGGCAGAGCGCAGAGAGCAGAGCGCACAGTACGTGTATGCGTGCCCAACAACCTGCTGTCCTATGTTCTAACCCCACCACCCCTCTTCCCTGCCCCTCCTCTCCCCCTGCTTGGTGTCCAGTTATGTCGTCGTGACCAGGCTAGAGGACGGGGCACAGTTCACAGACTACGGCACGGACAACGACAACCCCAACAGCGGCCCGGCTGTATCAACCAAGAAAGTCCGCCGCTACCTCACTTCCTCCCTCCTCGCCGGCTACACCTACAGCCTGCGCATCGTGCCCGCGCCCACCAACCCGCTGTTCTATCCCCAAGGGATTTTTGTGCGGTCCTATGACCAGGAGGGGTGTGTGGGGGCGATCACGGTGGTGCTCGAGCCCAAGGACGTGAACAGCCAATGGGTCACCAACATCCCCACCATGTGAGTCCAGGGGAGAGGGGCGGGGGGCGGGGGGGGCTTGGCACGTGCTCAATGTGAGTAAGTCGGCCAGGAGGGGTGTGCCGGGGGCGGTCACGGTGATTCTGGAGCCCAAGGAAAGGACGCCAACAGCCAATGGGTTAGCAGCATCCCCACCATGTGAGTCCAGGGGAGGCGGCGGGGGGGCTTGGCACGTGCTCAATGTGAGCAAGACGACCAGGAGGGGTGCGCGGGGGCAGTCACGGTGGTGCTCGAGCCCAAAGACTCGAGCCCAAAGACTCGAGCTCGCAATGGGTTACCAACATCCCCACCATGTGAGTAAGGGAGAGAGGAGGGGGGGCCGGAGGGGGGGGCTTGGCACGTGCTGAATGTGAGTGTAAGTCAACCAGGAGGGGTGCGGGGGGGCGGTGACAGTGATTCTTGAGCCCAAGGACGCCAACAGCCAATGGGTCACCAACATCCCCACCATGTGAGTAGGATATGCCACCATCACCACCATCACCATCACCACCATCAGCAGCACTAGTGCATAGAGAGTGCCTTCCTTCCCTTTCCCCCCATCTCAATCGTCCCAACCAGACCCTGCTCGATTCAGAACAGCAGTCTGGCCTTCCAGCAGTACCAGTGCATAGATGGGCAGACGAAGCATACTCAATATGCCCTCCTTCCCCTTTCCGCCCTGACTAAACCAACCCACACAGACCCTGCACGGGCCAGAACAGCAGTCTGGCGTATCAGCAGTACCAGTGCATCGACGGGCAATCGAAGCTGGCGATCCGCATAGGGGAGAACAGCTACGGCAATCACGCCATTGTCAACTCCACTGCTGCTGCTGCGAGCCAGACGTGCACACAGGACACGTGAGTTTGGCGGAGTCGAGAGAGTGGATGTGTTATCGTGAGTGGGCGTGCATGTCAGGCTTCCTTTTCAGTGGCGTTCGCATTTGAGTAATGCTCACTGCACCCCCCCTGCCATCGCCTCCCATTTCCACTCCACATCCCACGCAGAGCTCTAGTCTTAGCTGCTCAAAATCTGCCGCCTCTTGTCCATGTGTGTCTCTCTAAACCTGAAATATTTTTTAAATTGTTTTATTACCCCTCTGTACCCCTGTTTCCCTGCTTCTCCCACAGGCCTTGTTCCACGACCGCCGCAACACCCTCCTCCACTCCCCAGGCCTCCCCCTACTCCTCCGACCCTCTCACTCCCATGTCCACCTCCGCTCAGCCTCTCTCCCCCACTCGCACAACGGCCGGCAACATCGACCCTTTCTATGACCCCGCCTTCTATGCTCCCTCGTAATTATTGCCATGGGAGCTTCTCCGATCAGGTTTCTACGCTACTAACAAGTCATTTCGCAGAATCGGCAACTTTTTTTTGGCAAGATATGTTGTGGCACATTGTGAAATGCGAGCACCCTGATGGGAGTCGAGCATTTATTTATGGGATTAGATGTTTTACCTGTCAAACTCTGCATAGAAAAGGAGCTTGTTGGACTAATCTTTTGTAATATACAGATCACATAAATGGTCACTTGTAAGAAGATGGTTAGCGGAAACACAAAAATGGTTGCTGGAACACTAAAACAAATTCAAGGGGCTGTTTAGCATTGTGCTTCTGGCTGATACAGATTGCAGCGCAGCATCTGGACGCTTTGCTATGTTGCGTCAGAAATGCCACGTTGGCAATCTCTTAGATGGCTCAAAAGCACTTTGCCCGTATATCCCCCAGGTTCTGTGCTCTTGCCTCTATATCCATACTCCTTTTTTTCTGACGTGTCGAGGTTTGACTGATCGACTCCACACGCGCAAAGGCTTCCCCCCTCAACCTCTGTGGTTTCGGCGAGGCTTTCGGTTCGGCCTTTCGTCGGTCAGCCATGGCTCCGGATGAGTTATAAACGTCCGATCAAAAGAATGGTAAATCTTGGCCGTTAATTGATATTCTCGCAACACGGAGCCTAGACCCTTTCCCAGGTGGTTTTTAAAACTGGGATACTACTTTGCCGACTCGCCGTTATAGAAACTCGATCAGGCGGTCGTTCTTCTGCAGCCTTTTCTGTGGCTTTAATTAGTCCTGTTAATCTAGCCTTAGCAAATGGCGCTCCTTGTTCGCGCTTCTGCGATGGCCGTCGCAGAACTCGCAGTCGCCACGCGACTATCAGCGACGTCGCCGTGCGAAAGCTTATATAGCGTCGCCTCGTTCGCGCCGACTCGCTGGGTTGCCGCTACTTCCGCGTCGCGGCAACCACAATCGAGCCGGGCCACCCGATTGGTCGTCCGTGCAGAGACTGAGAGCAAGGGCTTGACCCGAGAGGGAGTGCTCCAGGTACTTTATTACTATTCGTATTATCATGCTAAATGCAGCGGTTTTTTTTTCGCCTACGTATGGTTTCTTTCGGCGATGTACCGAGTTGGCGTCACGGAGATGCTTTGACGATTTTCGAGTTTGGTTTCGGTAGTTTGTGGGTGGTTAGTCAATTCCTGTATTGTTTTGAGTTAACTCTGGGCGAATGTCACTCTTGGAGCTCACGACGGTTATCGCAGTATCACTGCGCATTTTTTGTCGTTCTCCACTAGAGCCATTGTGTCAGGCGGGCCCGTAAAGGAGTTTTGAGGCGCCTCAAAACTTATCGCAAAATACGCACTGTTCTTTTCCGATCGTTCTCCTCCACAAGGGTCAGTGTTCCAGGCGGGCCCGAAAGGAGTGTCCACATTCAAAGGAGGCCCCTGCAGTCTGTGTTGCTTACACAGACACTACAGAGGGAAGATTTGCACTGAAAATTCTTCCTCGGTTGGTGTGGGAGTAGGGTGGGCAGGTAAAAGGGGAAGCGGGGAGTTTGAGGGAAAGGTGTAAGGTGGCGTCGTAGAGGCTAGGTACGGATGAGTTTCATTATGAGCTGTTGGGGAACGCTACTCAGAGCAGTCGTACCCCGCCCGAATGAAGGGGAAATGCGGAACGGAGGGGTGGAAGGGGAAAACAGAAGGGCGTGTGACATTTTTCAAAATCGCTGAAAGTCCGGACGTTGTTCTACGTACGTCCAGACGCTTGTCCGGACGCTTGCGAAGCTGGCGACGTCGTACGGTCACTCTCCGACGCAAACGACGTCGTAAGGACGCCATGCGACGCAAACGACGTCGTTCAATTCCTTACGAGCTAGCTGGCGAGCTTGAACGACTTGGTCGTCCGGACGAAACAGATAGAAAATGTCACACGCCCTAAGGCCTTTCGTCGGGCCAGCTACAGATGAGTTCCCTTATAAACTGTTGGGGGGACGCTGATCAGAGCTAGTTGTGTCCCACAACCGCCTTGCACTCGCTCTCTCTGCTTCGTCAGCTTTCAAAGTGACTCTCTCGTTCCTTCGTTTCATGCCTCCCGTCCTTCATCAAGGGTGACAGAGGGCCGAGCTTCCAGAACGTGCGCATCTACGTGGGTTCCGTGGGTCCGCATACCTTAAAGATGGACGAGACGCAAGCGGACAGTAATGATCGCTCTACGCGTTCACCCGCCCTCCCTATCTTCACCAGGGTGGCGGATGGCTGAGCTCCAACACCCGCCACGTGCGCATCCACGTGGGCTGCGTTGACCCACAAACGAGGGAATTGGGCCAGACACATCAACTTTTCGTTTCCATTTTCATTCTCCTATGTCTGTCGTCCCGTCGCGTATTCACCAGGGTGGCAGATGGCTGAGCTCCAACACGCGCCACGTGCGCATCTACGTGGGGTACATCGACCCAGTGACCATGGAGATGGACCAGACGCAGGCGGACAAGCTGTCGCTGATGCTGGACACGGACAATGAGTTCCTTTGGACGCCCGAGACGGAGAAGAAGGTGTATGACAAGTTCACAGAGCTCGTGGAAGGCTATGCGGTGAGTGGGTGCTATGCAGTGAGTAGGTGATATGCGGTGAGTGGGCGCTATGCGGTGAGTGGGTGCTATGCGGTGAGTGGGTGCTATGCGGTGAGTGGGTGCTATGCGGTGAGTGGGTGCTATGCGGTGAGTGGGTGCTATGCGGTGAGTGGGTGCTATGCGGTGAGTGGGTGCTATGCGGTGAGTGGGTGCTATGCGGTGAGTGGGTGCTATGCGGTGAGTGGGTGCTGTGCGGTGAGTGGGTGTGGGAAGGGGTGATGGTGCAGACGTTGAGAGCTGTCTTTGCTGCTAGACATGGAGTGTGGGTTTCTGGAGATGAGAAATTGAAGAAGGTGTATGACTGGTTCACAGAGTTCATGGCAGGTGAGTCGGTCGGTCTGAGAGTGGGAATGTGGCCATTTTTTAGAATTCTCAAAAGTGAAGAAGGTGTACGACCGGTTCACAGAGCTCGTGGAAGGTGAGTCGGTCAGTGGGAATTTGGCACAGATGAAATCATGTGACAAACGTCGACATGTGTTTGGAAGTGTGTAACAGTGTATGTAGTGCTTGATGTGCTTGTGCAAATACTTACCAAAGCGAAGTTGGAGGGAGTCAATAACGAAGTGTTTGTATAGTCCGCTTGTGGCAAATACTTACCAAAAGCAATCCTTTTACCGTATCCCTCCCATATTCACTTTCCGGTATTCCTGATTCCGACTTGCAGGGTGCTGAGATGTCAGAGTACACGCTTCGTCTCATTGGCTCTGATTTGGAGCACTTCATCCGCAGTCTGCTGTTGGCTGGAGAGATCTTGTACAACTTGGACTGCCGGGTGCTCAATTTCAGCATGGGCAAGCCACGCATGCCAGATCCTGCTGCTAAGTGAGCCTATGGCCATGAACTCACATCAGAACACCATTTTCAATGATGAACTTGAATCCACACTCAAATGAAAATGCCCATTTAGTGAGTCTTTGCTGTTATTCTGAAGTGTGGTCAGAGAGGTTTATGTATTCTTGTGGGGCTGTCAGACTACTTTTCTGGCACTAGCATTACCATGTGTGTGTGCATAACTAGGTACATATCATTAATGGATTTGTCTAGAGTAGAGTATTTGCAGGTGCACATGACAGAGGCCCAGCATAATGGTGCGAAACGTTATCAAGAGACTTTGCAGTTGAAACATTTCAGCAAATCACTACTGTAACAATCCTTCGCAAACTCGATAACGACAAACTGACTACTATGCCAAACAGCTGGCCTCACGCGTCCCGTCCCCGACTTACGTTTTCTTACGAGATGGGGTGTGGTGCGTGGCGAATAGGGTTGTCCTCGTCAGCCTTGGCGTGAGCGCCAACCGCCTTTTGAACGCGGGGCACCAGAAAGCCTTCTAGCATTGCTTTCACATTGGCCAACGTAGGCACATGCCTCATGTAGAATTGCCAGCATGGATGCATGATCACAGCTGATTCGTTTATCTGGATTGCGCCACGGCAACAATCTTCCAAGTTCCCCTTGCGCCGTCCCCCTTGTAACACTGCTAGAGTCTCATCTCCCCCCACCCAACTCTTCCCCCCACTCAAATCTGCCAGCAAATGCACACACAACTCTGGGAAGATTTCTGCGCGATTACCGCGTCAGTCAACTTGACGTATTGACGGAGAAATGTGCCCTCCCAAGTCCGTCAGACACACCTCCCTCAGCCACCATGCCGCCAACTTCCTCGCAACCTTGTTTCGCACATGCGGGTCGGTCTCTCCTCCACTCCCGACATCCCTTGACCCTCTTCAACCAATCAGAGCCATCTTCACACTAATCTTCTCCAACCTCGCCTGCCCTTCCGTTTCTTTCCGCTCCCCGAACCCCCCCAACTTCAGATTCCCCTTGTTCCTCAGCCCCTTCCCCCTCCCCCCAGCTGTCGGGATTTTCTTCCGCCACTCCATTCCAGATACAGTACAGAACCCCCCAAACCAACCACCACAGTCCGTCAGCTGCGCCAACCAGCAAAATCCCCTTCCGCCTTTGCGTTGCGCTTGCTCGCTCTAGAAGCATCCCCCATCCGCCTACAGTTTCTTTGGAGGCTACTATATTTGGGTTCGCCACATCCATTTAGTGCTTCTGTTAGCACTACACAGTCTAAAGCGCTCCTCATCGTTGGTTTGCCACCAGTCCTCCAATTCTTTCACATCGACTGGCTGCAACTTCAACGCTCCTCATCTTGCGTGAATGCGGTATATTGGCTCTGGTGACTGGTAGTCCCCTCATTTTCTTGAATTGGAACTTACCATGTTCTCACAACCGTCTACACTTCCCAGTCACGTCGCTTTGGGCATTGCCGCTGCTAAGGAGCGTCCGTCTTCCTTCCGAATTGACCACCATCACGGAGCGGATTTGCTGGGATCAAGCCATCTCAGCTCCGTCGCTCACGCCGGTGATGATTTGACGGAGGACGACGTCTGGTCAGTCAACGACACTGACAGCCTGTCAGCTGACGGAATTGTCAAGGTCCCGTCTCACGACCAAATTCTACCGTCAATTCGCCTGACAAATCGAGGTCGGCTGGACCCACTCACTGCTTCATCTGGCCGGTTTTCCAGTCAAGCGCATGGGTTAGCTGTCCTTTCGTCAGATACCCTAACCGCAGGACAGGTTCCCATTGGCGGTGATATTGTTAAACCAAGCGCGTTGGCTCCGGTGGTCATTCCGTCGATTCAAACCCATCTGGACCACTTCAATTCGAGACATTCTCAAGGTCATCACCGTGCATCCGCTCCGGTCAACGTTCCAGACTGGAATAAAATAACAGGAACTGTAAACCGGCGGCCTCGCCGGCCGTTTGACGAGTATGACGATGACGCGGATAACATCATGGTTCCCCCGCACGAGATGATCGCGAAGGACACGTCATCATCCATGTGCTTCTCAGTCCACGAGGGTCTTGGCGGAACGCTGAGGGGAAGGGACCTGGATAGGCTCCGGACAGCCATTCTTCAAAAGACGGGTTTTTATGAATAAGGCGGGAGGGTCTTAATACGACGGGAGGGTCTCCATACTCCGTCCAAGCAAACTGGCTCGGCAGCATGGAGGCTTTGGCCGTGAGCCGCTGGCGCTTTACAAATCAAAGCTTACCATATCTCTTCGGTTTACTTCAAGCTGGGGGAGCTGGTTCTCCTGGAGCAGATACCTGTTGAAGGACCTCTTGTTGAAAGCTTCTGGACGCCTGAGCCTAGGAGCATCTTTTACTGGATTGTGCTGTGAGCATTTGAGCTCTACATTGTGGTGTTTCCAATTTTGCTATCCTGAAGTTGCAATGCATAGAACTGAAAAAATTGCTGTTTCAGTTCCAATTACTGAAGTTCCAAGTAACAGGTGAGCACAATATGTTTCAGTTCCCAACCTACTACGGTAACGGTTGTGGAAAAATTGCTTGTCAAGCTGTTGCTCTGCATTGATTTTTGGCAATTGAGCTGTTGACCTTAGATATTAACTCAACATGAACAAAAGCCCTCTTACTGGTAGGTGGCTCTCATCTACTAAGTTATGGTAGGCATTCCTAATCAAGTTCGGTCAACTTTCTGCAAGAATCCCGTTAGGGACTTCAAATGGAAGAACCAAACCAGCCGTGCCTTTCCCTTGGTCACCACATATCATAATAGGCATACGGTACATCAATACAACTACAATAGTAATTTATTGCCCACTACCCAAAAAACTGCTTCTATTTACCCATGATCACATATACAATACTGCTCCACCTGCCCCATCTTTACCAGTGACAACGAATATAGTTACCCTTCATCAGAGCGGCTCATCATAGCACCGTGTGGGGGTCGACAGCTCCGCCCGCATAGAAGCCCGGGTCGAAGAACGGGTCGGTGGAGGAGAAGGCCGACTCGCTGTCAACGAGAGGCGCGATGGAGAGGGGTGGGAGAGCAGCAGAAGTGATGCTGGAGCAACCACTGTGGATTGGGTGGGGAGCGGAGGGAAGGGAAGAGACGGGGGGAATGGAGATGGGTGATAGGGGAGGAAAAGGCCGACTCGCTGTTGGCAAAAGGTGCGATGGAGAGGGGCGGGAGAGCAATACAGTAGTGATGGTAGCACAACCACTGCGGATTGGGAGAGGAGGGAGGGAGTAGGGTGGAGGGGAGAGAAGGCGGGATGGAGATGGGTGAGGTGGAGATGGAAAAGGCTGAGTCGGTGTTGGCAAGAAGCGAGATGGAGAGGGGCGGGAGAGATGCTGTGATGGTAGAGCTCGCACCGTGGATTGGGCGAAAAGGAAGAGACTTTTTCTAGCCAATTTGTCTCATCACATTACACACGGACTTTTGAAGTGACTGATGAAGAAGAAAAAAAAAGAAGAAAAACAAAGGAAAAGACAAGAGAAGAAGAAGAAGACAAAAAAGAGGCTCATTGCCCGAACCAACACTCACGAGTCTAAGGAGCACGAGGTGCTGACACCTTGATTCAGCTCCATCACAACCGCTGCCTTGCCGCTGCTGCTTGCCCCAATATCCAGCCTCAGTCTCGACTTCCCCTCCCCGCAAGCGTACTCCTTATAAACCTTTGTCTCGTTAGCAGCAGAGCACGGCACTGTAGGCACGTCCGCCCGCCACTTGCTGCTCGAATTCGGCGAGTCTATAACCACACGAACACTCCCAGAGCACCCCTGCCAGTCGAACACGTTCAGCTGCATTTTACTCGGGTAAAAGTCGCTGTTGGTGTCAGCGGCAATAATCTGTATCCGGTACGTGTACCCGGCTAGAAGCGAGGCGGTGAGAAACCGCCTCTTGCTGGAAGAAGGCTTGCGTTTGGGGTCATCGTTGTCCGTTCCGTAGGCGTGAAAGAAGGTGCCGTCGTCCATTCGTGTTATCTTCAGGTAGGAATACGGCCGGAGAACGGTGCTGCTGGTGGCCCCGTATTCGTCATACTCTAGCCCGACCGACCGGTAGCACACGGAGGTGCAGGAATAGGCTGAAAGGGCGCTCTTGTAGTCGCACTTTGCCGCCCGGACGGCGGCGGGCGGCAGGATGGGGTCGTAGTTGGCAACGGCGTAGCCTGATTGGCCGAGGAGCGACCCGTCGACGTCCCGGATGGCGTAGAATCGTGCCACCAGACCCCCCCGGGGCGGCGTGCCTGATGACTGGGAGAGATTCAGCAGGGTAAAAAAAAAAAAAAAAAAAAAAAAAAAAAAAGGATGCTACGAATGTCAATGCTAACCATAGTTATTGCTATATCAATAAGAAACATTGATAAAGTGGGACATGAGGGAAAAGGTGTCAAACACACAACACAAATGACAGGTTTAGGTGACTCGATGAACTCAGTGTGTCCCAGAACTTGCCAGTGCATGGAGTGAAAGAAGGTGACTCTTTGAGTCAACTCAGAAGTGGTAACGACGATACTGGGGAAGATGGGTTTAGGGTGACTCACTGGATTCGGTGTTGCCCAGAATTTGCTGGTGCCTGAACTGAAAGTGAGTCCCTGCGAGAAAGGGAGATTGAGATACATGGAGGGAATCACAAAATTTATGAGTTAAACATATGTGAAATATATGAAATTGATAAATGTAGAAGCGAGTAAATGACGGGGACTGCTTACGGATCACACTGGAACAGTGGTTCATAACAATTCGGTGGGGGTTGGCACAAATATAAAACAATAGAGAATCCACTTGCGAGGGACTTAGCGATTTTGAGGTGCCTCAGAAAACGTCTCTTGTCTCACGTCGCCTTAGAAATACGAATGAGAATAACATCTCCATAACGTAACTGTAACGAGCAGTACCTTAACGAACATGGCAGTGTTCCAGTATCCGCCCGCCCTATTGGCCACAAGAGCGATCCCAAAGCTGCTGCTGCTGCACGTGCCAAAGTGGTGGAAGCTGGGGAAGGGGAGGATGGGCGCGCAAAGTGGGGAGGGGAGGGGGAGAATGAGGAATAATAAGCTGCTGCTGCTGCACGTGCCAAAACGGTGGAAGCTGTGAAAGGGGAGGATGGGCAAAGAGGGGACAAGGAGGGAGGGAGGGCAGGAAGGTGGGAGAGTGGGAGGTAGGGAGGAAATCGAGAATGTTAAAGTCGCCGCTGCTGGACAAGGGAGGGATGGGGGGTCAAGGGGGAGAGGGGGTCAAGGGGGAGAGGGGTTGGAAGGAAACAGAGAATTGGCGAACCTAACTGGAACCCCAGCACACTACAACGAGTACTGCAGCACCTGATAACGAGTACGGACGGACTCACGAGCTGTCCTGGATGGAGTTGGGGTAAAGGTGGCCCTGCGGGTTGCTCTGACTCTTGGTGATCCCAGGCTTACTATATAGCGAGTACTGCATCACCTTATAACAAGTACGGATAAACTCACGAGGAGTCCTGGATAGAGTTGGGGTAGAGGTGATCCTGCGGGTTGCTCTGACTCAGCGCGATGCCAATCGGGGCTGCGTACGACCCTGCTTGGTCCTGCATCGATGGGCCCATAGGATCCACCACTCCACTGGGTGAACCCTGGGCAGGACCTGCCATCCCAGCGTTCTCAAGAGCTTTATTGCCACTGCTGCTGCTGCTGCTGCTGCTGCTGGTGTTGCTGCTGCCGCTGTCGCCGCTGCTGCTGTCAGTGCTGCCGTCGTCTGCATACGGGTCGAGAGGTCCCAGCGACGCCTGCAGAGTGAAGGGTTGCCACAGAGTGGTGGGACCGGCAGGGACCGGGCTGTCTGGGTCGTTGGGAGGAGCACCATCACCACCAGCACCTGTGCTGTCATTGCCGGGCAGGGTGGAATTATCTGGGGCGTTGGGAGGTGTGGTAGCAGTGCTGTCATTGCCGGGTGGTGGGGTTGGTGCGTTGGCAGCGGTGCTGTTGTCTGTGACGGTCCCATCTGATGGGATCGAGCCATCTGACCCGTTGGATGTGTCCTGGGTAGTGGCGGTGGTGGTGGCAAGGGCTGTGGTTGTTGTGACCGCATTGGAGGACCTATAAGGGAAGGAAGAGGAGGAGGGGACACGAGAGGGCAAGAAGGAAAAGAAGGTGACAAGGATGAGAACGGGAAGCGAGCAGGTACGTTTGATCGACACAGTGGCAAATGCAGTAGCAGGAGATATTTTTTGTTTGATTTGGATTTACGAAGGAGGAACAGTCAATGCAGCAGCAGGAGGAAACCTGCCAAAAATAAAAGAAAGAAGAAGAAGAAGAAGAAGAAGAAGAAGAAGAAGAAGAAGAAGAAGAAGAAGAAGAAGAAGAAGAAGAAGAAGAAGAAGAAGAAGAAGAAGAAGAAGAAGAAGAAGAAGAAGAAGAAGAAGAAGAAGAAGAAGAAGAAGAACTTGCGGGCAGCACGACTCATGGGCAGAAGGAGCGGAGGATCGGCCACTCGCAGGCAGAGGAGGAGCACTCACGAGCAGGAGGATGAGGAGCACTCACGAGTAGGAGGATGAGGAGCACTCACGAGTAGGAGGATGAGGAGCACTCACGAGTAGGAGGATGAGGAGCACTCACGAGCAGGAGGATGAGGAGCACTCACGAGTAGGAGGATGAGGAGCACTCACGAGCAGGAGGATGAGGAGCGGCCGATGAAGCGGCAGCCCTTGGCTTGCACACCGGCATTGCGGCTCAAGTCGATGCCGATTCCATTGTCCAGAAACACCCCGTTCTCCACTATCAGCCGCTCGCTGTTGAAAAAGAACATTCTGTGGCGGGGAAGAGAGGAAAGAGAGAGAGAGGGGTACAGGAAAGTGAAACCACGCTCACATCACACTCAAGATTGCTTGTGGCAAGAACAAAAAAAAGGAGGGGGAGTGGGGGGGAGGAGGGAGGAGTGGGGAGGGGGGAGAGGAGGATGTCAGGGAGCATGCCTACAGCCGACTCACCCTGCTTTGTTGCGGTAAACGAGGAAGTTCTTAAGGGAGACGCGGGGATTCTTGGAGGGAGACGGGTAGTGCGGCCGGGACCCGTGGGGGTAGGTGCGGAATCCAAAGAGGGCGTTGGAGTGAGCTTGGTTGCCGTCCCACGTGCCCCAGTTGTAATAGAAGGGCACCGTTGACCCGATGTCTGGTAGGAGCTTTGAGAGTCCCCTCATGTATGGGTTTGCCTCTAGCCAGAAGCTGATGGGGAGCAGCACAGGGGAGAAGGGGAGTGGAGGGGAGGTGGGGAGTAAGTACTAGAAGGACTGCAGACGGGTAGTGCGGCCGGAACCCGTGCGGGTAGGTGCGGAATCCAAAGAGGGTGTTGGAGTGGGCATGGTTGCCTTGCCGTCCCACGTGCCCCAGTTGTAACAGAAGGGAACTGTTGAGCCGATGCCTGGTAGAAGCTTGGACAGAACTCGCATGTATGGGTTGGCCTCTAGCCAGAAGCTGATGGGGAGGGAGAAGGGGGAGGAGGGGACAAAGGGAGGAGGGGAGTGAGCCAACTGCTGACCCGATCTTTGGTAGCAGCTTGGAGAGACCTCGCATGTATGGGTTGGCCTCTAGCCAGAAGCTGATAAGAGAACACATGCACGGACATGCATGGACGGACGCACACACACACGCACGCACCCACGCACCCACACACACCCACACACCCACACACCCACACACACAAAACATGAGATTCAATGGGGGAAGGGGAGCAGAGAGGGGGTAGGGAAATGGAGAGGGGGTAGGGGAGCGGAGAGGGGGTAGGGAAATGGAGAGGGGGTAGGGGAACGGAGAGGGGATAGGGGAACGGAGAGGGGGAAGGGAAGCGGAGAGGGGGAAGGGAAGCGGAAATAGGGAATGGAAGCGGAGAGGGGGGAGGGGAAGGGAGAGGAGGAAAGGGGAGCGGAGAGAGGGAAGGGGAGCAGGGAGGGGAAAGGGGGAACAGGAAGCGGATCGGAGAGGGCGCAGGGGAGCATGGATGGGAAAGGGAGCATAGAGGAGGGAGGGGAAGGGAGAGGAGGCTGAAGGGTGTGGCGAGCTGGAAAGTGGGAAGAGGGGCAATGGAAAGGGAGAGGGCATCAAAGAGGGCGAGAGGAGGGGAACGGGAGGGGGCGGGAAGGGGAACGGGAGGGGGAGGGGTTGGGAGGGATGGGGAGGGGTTGGGAAGGGAAGGGGAGCAGGGGAGGGGAGGCTCACCCGGAATCTTCTGAGCCGGCGGCAACATTGTCAATGAAGCTGCTGAAGGGCGTCGCCAGCCAGAAAGTTGTCGGATGCTTGTCCGTTTGCAAGTCCAACCGGCTGGAAGTTAGCGCCGGGATTACTTTGTCAACTTTCCGCGCATTGATCCCAAGGTTTCGCCGAAACACATTTCTCATTTCAGATCCCTCCTCCAGCAGGTAGCAGTGGCCCTTGGTTTCGTACGAAACGTTATCCTCGATCGTCATGTTTCCCGTCGCGTGAATCACCATGCATCGCTGCTTCGTGAAAACGATTGCGTTTTTCCGCACAATGTGGTTCTGGCCCTTTTGCCCGCACACGTGGAAATGCAGGGGGTATTTACCCAGCACGCCCTGGTTTCCGAGTGCTCGAAACTGAACACCCACGATTTTTTGGGTTGTCCGCGTCATGTAAACCATGAAGTTGCAACCTGGGAAATGCGAACCAGACGGTTGAAACGGGAAACAAAAAGGACGGTCAGGACCCGAAAAGCGGAAAACGGATTAGGAGTTGGTAACACGGAGCTAGTGATTCGCGTTATGTGAGTGACACGAGATATGGATTTCTCACCATCGTAGTGATACGGCGCGGGCTCGTCACTCCCGGTGATCACAATGTGCCGAATTAACAGCGCTACCTCTCCGTAAATTCCCACAGTTTCCTCTACATTGTCTCTTGAGGCGCCTCAACTCACCATCGTAGTGATGTGGCGCAGGTTCGTCGCTCCCGGTGATCACGATGTGCCGATCCAGCAGCGCGACTTCTCCGTAAATCCCCACCGTCCCTCCCACTCCGTCCGAAATCTTCACGCCGTCGTGCCGCTTCTTAAGCGCTGTCTTTAGATTGATTTTGTACCTCCCGTCGCTCTTTCCTGGTCCCGACGCGGGCGTGACGACCGACACGGACGTGATGACGTGGTGCTCCGCGTCGTTGAGATTTGCTGACGTGGACGCCAGCGCGACGGTCATCCCCGGCGCCCAGCGCGTCACGTCCGCGTTCACGTAGATCGCCCGCGCGCCCGCGTCGGCCGTCTCGGTGAGGCGCACCCACGACGGCGTGTTGCCGCCGCCCGGCATGCCGTACAGCGCAACCTGTCCGCCCACCTGCGCGGGGGAGGAGGAGCGGGTTGGGGCGTGTGGGGTTGAGGAGTGTCGTTTTGTTAGAGTCACATTCGCTCGCGGAGACTGTTTTGTTAGTATCAGTACTCCTATTGCTAGTGTTACCACTCCTTACCACTCCGTACCCCTTCTTACCACGGCGAACGTCTTGTGGCCCAGATCTCGGGGGTTGTTAGGATCCGACGGCTTGTAAAACTGGAGGGCGTACGACGCGCGCTGCTGCTTGAAGTTCTGGAACAACGTGAACGTGACGCGGTTCGAGAAGTGCTTATCCGGCTCGCCCGCCGTCAGGCGCCCGAACACCATTATGTACGCCGCGCGCACGCTGATCTTCGGGAGGGACGGGTCGTCGAGAATCCTGCGGGAGAGGGGAAGGCGGAGAAGGGAGAACGAGGATGAGCAAATGCCTGCCGGGCGCCCGAAACACCATATGTAGTTCTCGCGCACGCTGATCTTCGGGAGAGGGGGAGCGGATCGTCCAGAATCCTGCGAGGGGAGGAGGGAGGAGGGGAGGAGGGTGAGCGGAGGAGCGGGTTAGCTAATGCGCGGCATCGGGTTCGCCGCCGTTCGTCTCCCCGCCGTCACAGGCGCCGTCACAGGGCCATGATGCACGCCGCGCGCACGTGGGTCTTCGGGAGAGAAGGGTCATGAGAATCCAATGCGGCGAGAGTGGGGAAAACATGAGTTAGCAAATGCGAGGCGTTCGCTCGCCGTTCGTCGTTCGCAGTTTCTGGAAACGGGGTGAGGGAGGGGAGAGGCAGGCAGGGGTGAGCAGGAGCGGAGATCTGGAAACAGCATTGCCTGCTGGCCAACATTGCCTCTCCTTCCACTATAATACCCAATACGCAACTTCGTCGGGCTGACGACGCTTACTACAGGCAGCAGCAGCAGCAGCAGCAGCAGCAGCAGCAGCAGCAGCAGCAGCAGCAGCAGCAGCAGCAGCAGCAGGGTGCATTCAGCAGCTGGGATTTGAGACGTCTCAGCAGTGGAACTCACTTCAGCCAGCCTCGGATCTGAAGGAATATATTAGAGAGCGTAGCGATAGCGAGAGAGTCTCTGCTATGGGAATGATGTTGCGCCAGCAACTTGGTAGAGTTTTGGTAGCGTTTGCCTCTAAGGACTTTGTGAGAATTGAAGTAGCATTTGGGCCAAGTAGAATTGCAATATCAATTATCAAACACACAAGCAAACACAAACATATATAGGCAAGCAAGAGTTGCACAATTGTTGCGTGGCGCTGCGAGTAACCCAACCCACACGAAAGTGCTGTGCAGGTGGGTGAACGCGCCCCGCACATTTCCAACCCAACTCGGCACCGGAATGTCTCACCGTGCACGCTACTCCTGCCAACACAGCAAGTGAGCAGCGTGCCTCACAAGCAAGGCACCTACGACCCCCAAGACTCGTCATTCCTAGCACCGATTCCGCCGAGTTCGCTGCAGTAGCTCACAGTTACCCGTAGTCACTAATGACCGCCACCGAACTCGTGCGTCGGTGCCGAGTAGACTCAGTCGTTAGGCGCCGACCTGCCAAGTCAAAGGTCATCGAGGGCCCTTGCTGTCGTAGGGCCCTCTAACACTCCCCTGCCATACTACAGCAAGGCCCTTTATAATCACAGGGCATGCATACACACATACACACCAAAACAAAGGGATACACACAAACGAAACACGCTCAAAGTGTAAACACACACCGCACCAGCCATGGATAGGCCATGGCACCATCCACATCATGGAGTGTCTAGGTCTCACTCCCCTCGCTCGAGAGCCGCACCTGCCCCACAGCCTCGAAGCAACGACTGAAGGCGGGGAAATGCAATGCCTTTGTGAGGTAGTCAGCAGGCTGCTCGCTCGTAGGAATGTACTGCAGCTGCAGCTTCCTGCGCTTGACCATGTGCTGCAACCACATGTGACGACGCTCCATGTGCTTGAGGCTCCCCTTGAGTCCCATGCCACCTGCCACTGAAATGGCGGAGGAGTTGTCCACAAAGAGAGTAGTGGGCTCCTCACTCCTCAGCAGTTGAAACTCCGCCAGCAGGAAGCGCAGCCTGCGCGCCTCCTTCCCAGCCTCCACAGCAGCAACATACTCAGACTCAGTGGAGGAGAGGGTGGCGCAACGAATCCTCTGGCTCGCCCAAGAGACAGCAGCACCCCCGAGCACGAAGACATAGCCACCAGTGCTGGTCCTGTTCTGCTTGTCTCCCGCATCATCAGCATCGGCGTAGCCCACCAGCTCCAAGGACTCCGGCCCCCCACCAAACTCCAGCGCCACATCCCTGCTCCCCACCAAGTACGTCAAGCACCGGTCCAACTCCTTCCAGTGCTGATCACTCCGCACAGTCTGGCCCGACCCCAGCTTGCTGCAGGCGAACGAGATGTCGGGACGGGTGGTACAGGCCGCGAACTGCAAGGATCCCACCTTCTGCCTGTACTCCTCCTCCTGGCGAGACTGCCATCCCACATCCTCGAAGGTCTGCACACTGAAGGGGTCAGAGGAAAGAGGGGTGCGAGGCACTCGCAGCGGCTGCTCCCCGTCAAAGAAGCGCCTATGGACCTTGTCCACATAGGCCCCCTGGTGCAGCCACATCCTCCTCGTAGGCCTGTCCCGAATCAGCTGCAACCCCAGATACTTCTCCACTGGGCTAATCTCCCGCAGCTGAAACGCACCCTGTAGCAGGTCACGCAGCTCCCCCAGCATGCTCTGACTGCGGCTGGCAGCAAGCAAGTCATCCACATACACCAGCAGCCAGCACATCTCCCCCTCAGCATCACTCTTGAAGTACAGAGCCTCATCCACTTGGCTCTTCTTCCATCCAGCCCCAAGCAGCACCCCATCCAAGGCCTCATACCACAACATCGGGCTCTGCTTGAGCCCATACAGGCTCTTCACCAACTTACATACACGAGGAGTCCCATCCTCGTAATAGCTCGGCTGCTCCATGTAAAGGTCTCGGTCTAGCACGCCATGGAGGAACGCGTTCTTCACATCCAGCTGCATCAGGTCCAAATCAAGTGCAGCTGCAATCGCCAGAAGCACACGCGCCGTCACATAGCTTCCCACAGGGGCGTACGTCTCCTCATAGTCCACCCCTGCCACATGCGTGAACCCCTTCACCACCAGCCTCGCCTTCTCACGCTCCACTATCCCATCTGGTCGGAACTTGGTGTTCAAAATCCAGCGGTTCTTCATCACATTCACCCCTGGCGGACGCGGAACCAACTCCCACGTCCCCTGCTCAATCAAGCTCCGCATCTCCTCATCCATCGCCTCTTTCACCTTGTCTCCCTTCCAGCAGCCCAAGGCCTCCTTCACTGTCATTTTCGCTATGTCCCACTGCCTCTCAGGGTCAGCTGCCACGTCCGGGTCCAGGTCAGTCCACTCCTCGTCCTCCTCCTCGTCATCCAAGCCCGCTGGCTCAACCACTACAGCCCAAGCGTATCGAACAGGCGGGACACCACGAGTGATGCGAGTGGAGCGACGCAGTGGTGCAGTGGTCGTCCCAGAAACCAACACACGACCACCATCTCTAATTCCCCACATCTCCTGCTCCCCCGTCTGCGGCTCCCCTGTCTGCTGCTCCCCTGGCTGCTGGTCCACCATCTGCTGGTCCCCAATCTGCTCCTCCCCTATCTGCAGCTCCCCACTCTGCTGCACCTCTATCTGCTGTTCCCCTATCTCCATCCCCCCACTCTGCTGCACTCCATCCATACTACTCTCATCCTGCAGCTGCTCAGTCACAAGGCGCTGCCCGTCGGTGATCACCATGGACGGCGGCACCACTATCCCCCCCTCACCAACGGGCGGTGCCGTGGAAGACGAAGAGGAGGGTGGAGCAGGTGTAGGAGGGATGGAGGGTGGAAGGGGAGAGGGGAGAATAGGAGGAGGAGGGGAAGCCAAGGGGGGTGAGGATGAAGAAGGTGGGGCAGGGGGAACCACACGAGGGTAAACTGAAGGCGGAGGTGGGGTGGGGACCGAGGTAGGGACATAGGGCATAGCAGGAGGTGCGACCACGTCCTCCTCCTCCACCTCGTCTAGAGCGATCGGGAAGAAAGAGGGAAGGGGCTCATAGGGCATCGGACGCCCCCCATGCTCCTGCTGATGCCAAGCCTTCCATCCTGCCAAAGACATGGTCTCATAGAACACAGCTTCCACAGTGGTGATGAGGCGGTTGGACTCCAAGTCCAGCACGGTCCAGCCCTTGCTCGCTGCTGACACCCCCAAGTGCAACCCCCAGCGAGCCTTGGGCGCCAGCTTCCCCCCACGTTGCGACTGCGGCACCATGTACTGCAGCATGCAGCCCCAGACACGCACCATACTGACATCGGGTTTGCGTCGAAAGGCGAGCTCGTACGGCGTCACACCAGAGGGCAGCGAGGCATGCTCCACGCGGTTGCGCACCCAGACGGCCTGCGCCAGCGCCAGGTGCCACCAGTGATGCTGCACACCCATGTGCAGCAACATCGTCCGCACAGCCTCCACAATGCTGCGCATCTCCCTCTCGGCCATTCCGTTCTGCTCCGGCGTATACGGGCACGTGAGGTCGTGGATGATCCCCTTCTCGTCGAGGAAGAGCATGAAGTCGTGGCCCAGGAACTCACCACCCCGATCAGTGCGCAGCGCCTTCACCGTGGTCTTGCACTGCCTCTCTGCCATCGGGAGCCACTTCTGGAACGCCGCCAATGCATCGCTCTTCTTGGCCAAAGGGTAGGCCCAGACGAACCGCGTCTTGCGATCTTTCAGCACCAAGAAGTAGCGGCTGCCATCCTTAGCTGCTTCACGGAAAGGGCCACACATGTCAGCATGCACCACCCCGAGCAACTCATCCTCCTCCTCTCCCACAGAAGGAAAGGTATGACGAGTGATCTTTCCCCCAACACAGGAGACACAAGGTATGCCTGACTTGCCCCCCTTCTCCAAATCCAAGCCCTTCACTGACCCGTGAGCCGCTGTGCGCTCGATGGCATCAATACCAACGTGTGCCATACGCGCATGCCACAGGTCCCCCTTAGACCGCACGCCCGTCGACAAGGTACGAAGTGCCACCGTTTCGCCTTCCTGCTGCTGCGTCGAACACGGCTGGAAGTTCGTGCAGAGAACACGCCCCTTGAACTCCGCACGACCAAGGAGCGATCCATCTGGTGCCCGCAGCAAAGTCACATCCCCGGCATCCAGCAGCTGCACACCACTATCACGCAGCTGCCCAGCAGAGAGAAGACTCGCCTGCACTCCTGGTACGTACAGCACGTCCGGCACCAAGACACGCCTGCCCCCCTCTCCAAGAAGAGCGACTGTGCCCCGCCCCTGCACCTCCTGAAGAGCGCCGTTGAAGCTGGTAACCTGTTTAATACTGCCGCCGCTGCTCATCTCCACAAAGGCAGAACGATCTCCCATGAGATGGTGGGAGCATCCGCTATCAAGCAGCACGACGCTCGGGTTCGCCTTCACAGCAGCTGCAACAGCCTGTAAGCCCTCCCCGGCCTCAGGCTCCAGCACAACGAGAGGAGTCTGCTCCACAACGGGCTTCACCATCGCACATGATGACTGCCCGCTCCCCTTAGAGCCATTACCCCCCTTGCTGCTGCTACCTCCAGAACCCTCTCCCCCAGTGTCTGCCTCATTATCCGCCCGCTTCTGACAGTACTTAGCAACATGCCCTATTTGTCCACACACATAGCACTTCCCCTTGAAGCCCCCTTTCCCCCCCTTCGGCTGGCCATCCTTACCCCCTTTCCACTTCTCCCCTCCCCCACCAACCCCACCCCCATTCTTAGGCTGCTGCTGCTGTGCCGTAGTGGGAGGGGAAGGGAATGAAGTCTGCTGGAATTGGGGCTTACCCTTCTTGGTAAAGACCTGGTTAGCCTGGGGAAGGAATTGGTCCTTTCGTCCCTCCGCCGCCAGCGTACACTCCTCCTCGATGATGTAGCTAGCGAGGGTGTCCTCGTCCAACTCCTTGCGCACCTGCGGCAACTTCAGCATCCTGCGTAAGAGGTTGTACTGCTGCGGCAACCCCTTCACAACGTGAGTAATGTACGACGCCTGCGAGTAATCTACGCCGGCCATCCTCAGGTTCACTAGGATCTGCTGCGCACGATTGCAATAGGACGTAGCAGACTCGTGCTCTCCCATCTCGAGGTTAGTGAGCGCCTGCTCTAACTGACCGATGTACAGATCGTCCTTCGCCATGTACGTGCGCATAATAAACTGCCATGCCTGATAGCCGGCATCTACCTTCATGCGACACGCCTTAAGGGCGATCTGTATGGTTGGGGAGCAGCATCGGGAAATGGTGGTGAATGTCAGTAACTGCATCGCGCGGAACTGGGAGAGATGTGCAAGTGCACGCGCTGGTGGAATGGGAGTGGTGCCATCTATGAATCGCTTTAGCTGAGCGATCTCAAGCTGCGGCTCGATCGATTCTGTCCACGTCGACAGGTCGTGGCGTCCTTCTAACGGCCTAGGGACAACGATCTTGTCAGGAGTGAATCTGAAGTAGCCATAGTTGGGGGCTATTCCCTCGTCCCTCGACATCGATCCAATCGGGGTAACGCCCGGCATAGCCTCACTATCGTACTCTTCCGCATTTCCTCCTCCAGCAACGCTCCGCCGTCCTACATTCGCATGCTCTCGTGACGCTGCTGCACGATGAACACGCTCCTGTACACCGCCGACGCTAGCCGTACTAAACCGAGTTGGTCCTCGCAGGACCCCACGCGACATCAACCCATCAAGCTCCTCGTCATCGCTATTTCCGCCATCGCCAAGCATATCCCACGCACTAGTACCTCCCGCAGCTTGCTCAACATTCTCTACACGTGGCGAGGGATGGTCGCGACGCTGACGAGAGCGTAATCCCTCCATCATGAGCTCATATTCTAGATCACTAAGCTCACCACGAGAATGACGGGCCTCGAGATCCTCCTCTAGTGCGCGAAGACTACCGGCCTCCACGTTCGTCTCCTCCGTACTCATCCTCTACGACGTCTCTACAAGGTACCACAAATTAAAATAAATTGTCCCTTCCTTGAATCCCTCGTCTCGGGGTCACCTCACAAGGGTCCTCAGACGAATGGTAATAAATTACCAAGCGCCCTATCCTTGGGTCCGAGAACGTAACTGGAGGGAAATTAAGAGAGGTTCAACTTAAATTAATGAGCGCCCTTCACTAACGCCGCACGCCAAGGCGAGTATACTAACGAACGTCGACGGAAATCTATGCGTGTTCGTTCCACGCTCACCGCACCATGAAGGAATATATTAGAGAGCGTAGCGATAGCGAGAGAGTCTCTGCTATGGGAATGATGTTGCGCCAGCAACTTGGTAGAGTTTTGGTAGCGTTTGCCTCTAAGGACTTTGTGAGAATTGAAGTAGCATTTGGGCCAAGTAGAATTGCAATATCAATTATCAAACACACAAGCAAACACAAACATATATAGGCAAGCAAGAGTTGCACAATTGTTGCGTGGCGCTGCGAGTAACCCAACCCACACGAAAGTGCTGTGCAGGTGGGTGAACGCGCCCCGCACATTTCCAACCCAACTCGGCACCGGAATGTCTCACCGTGCACGCTACTCCTGCCAACACAGCAAGTGAGCAGCGTGCCTCACAAGCAAGGCACCTACGACCCCCAAGACTCGTCATTCCTAGCACCGATTCCGCCGAGTTCGCTGCAGTAGCTCACAGTCACCCGTAGTCACTAATGACCGCCACCGAACTCGTGCGTCGGTGCCGAGTAGACTCAGTCGTTAGGCGCCGACCTGCCAAGTCAAAGGTCATCGAGGGCCCTTGCTGTCGTAGGGCCCTCTAACAGGATCCTCAGCTTTCCGACGCTTATATCGGGTACATCCAGCAGCACAGCCTTTCCGCACGGAATCATGACGTCAGCCCATCTGCGCGCCCCGGTACCGGGCACGCCGCGAACCTTCGCGGAAGCGCCCCACGTCCTCCAGTCGCTCCACCGCTTAAAGCCCTCCGCAGGCGGCTCGGTCATGAGCTTTCCGCACGCGGGGCTGTACGCGTCGGTGACTTTGAACGCCGAGCCGCGCGTCGGCGACACGTGGCAGCATGCGAGGAGGAGGAAGATGAGCGCCGACGCGACGAGGAAGCGCGAGAACGACGGCGCGCCGCCGCATTGTGATATCTTACCACCCATTACTATCATAGCTTGAAGGCTCGGAGCGTTACTACCACTGCGGCTTCCTGGGAACTACCACTTTGAAAGTCTCGGAGATTAATCGACTGAGCCCAGTATGTACAGGCGGTTAACGAATGGTCCACGGTTCTCCTAGTAAGCAACCCCAATGTCGTTCGCTAAGCACCGGAGATCTTATAAAGCCGAAATTCAAGTCGAAGCAGCAGAGATGGGGGGTTGTCAAGAATGCCGTGAGGGAGCACGATACTCAGTACGTGGAGGCGAGAGTTAACTTATGGTAGCGTGTCGTGTCGACTGATACTCGGATATCGCTTGGGAGATACGCTAAGCACACGGCGGTGGGGTTCATACGCGCAACGGGGGTCCCTCCCTGAATGCTATTCGCAGCAGTTGTTGAAGTTTTGCTGCTCGGCTCGGCGCTTGCGTTGCTACGGTTCGGAACCGCCGCCTTCCGTTCGTCCGTACACGAACCTGTAAACCGTGGCGCGGCACTGGATCACTGTAGGGGTGGTGCTGCGGTAGTGAAGTCGTATCTATCAGGTGGTAGTGGTAGTAGTATCGCCATGGCATGGCAGGCAAGGCCATCGCCATTGACATTGTCATCACCATCATCGCCGCCATCATCTCCATCATCGCCATCCCCTCGCCATCAGTCCTCACCTCACCCGGCTATCGCCGTTGCCATTGTCATCGCCATCGCATAGCCATCGCCATCGCATCGCCATCGTCGCCACCATTCCAACGGCGCTGCAAGTTGGCAACTGCACCCACCTCGGGTGGCGGGTCGGGTTTCTGAATCTTTCAAGAAAGCAAGCAGAATCTGCATCGAAGGGCCCATCCGTCCGTCCATCCGTGCACAGTTTGCAAATTCTTCTATCACGGTAGATGTAGAAGTTGCGTCGTTGCTCCAGTCCGGGGTCGAGGT